GAAGCATCCCTTATATACAATTTTCCTTTATTTTGATAGTTCGAAACTTTTACTTGGTAGTTCTCAACTTTGCCTCTATTAGTTTCTAACTTTCATACAATAGTTACTAACTTTCTATTTTCCTTTAGTTACTAACTTTCCTACTGGTTATTATTCCACCCTAATAGTTCAAAACTATCGGTAAATCCAAATTTGGAACCCTTAATCGATGTGGCTTACCATTTCTGTATTACAGACAAAAAAATTAAAAATTTTATTGAATTTCCATTTCGGGCATAACATCATCCCCCCTTTGAAGGATGAGCTCCTGCGAATCCCGTGAAGTCATTTCTTTTTCTTTTAATCGTTTGGCTTCTACTAATAAAACTTCATTAAAGTCTTTCTCGGACATGTATGAAAGAATGCTAATATTAAGATCCTGGACGGCTTGAATTGTATTTTTTCCGCAAGTGTTAAAAAGAAGAAAAACTCTTTTAGCAATTCAATTTACTAGTTTTTCTCTACTGTTATTAAAATAAAGGTTTAATTTATTTTTAACAGACTCGCACCAGCCTTTTTTAGCTAATAATTCTCCTATTTGAATATACAGTTCTAGAGTATCGCTATTAGTTCGCTTATTAAATTTTTCATCCTTTAAAATATTGCATAAATAAGTGAATTTTTCCTCCCAATTATTTCTAATGATTGGATTAGACATTATGGAAATTTCCATCCCTGGTCGATCTAGATCCTTTACATACAAAGGTAGATTTTCGTGAATTCGTTGTGTATGAGTTTTCTTTCCTTCGCAATTTAGTTCCTTTGTAAATTCTAATTCTCCCACTCTTACGGTCACGTGATTCCGGCAGATAGTTATTTCTTCTCTATCTTTTAATTTCCTCATTATTTGTTGTAGATTCGATTGAACTGAATCTAAACATTCTTCGAAGAACTTTGAACCTTGCATAAGTTCATTTTATTAAGGATTTAAAACAAGCTTTAGGAACCCAGAGGTGGGATGTCACAAGGTTCTTTTTATATTCGTTCGCGATTATCTGCCTCTTTATAGCTTGTTCCTTATAAATTTTTAATAAATTTCTATGTATGGATCGTTGTAAGACCTTTTCTTCCATTGTTCTTAATTTATACGATCCATTTCCATGCACCATATGAATGTAATATGGCCCTTTCCATTTTTCTTCCAATTTTCCACTTCAGCGTGTATCCAATTTAGCCTTATATAGAAGGACTTTGTCCCTGATTTTGAAGCTTTGTAATCGATAACGATTATCATGATTCCGTTTTTGTTTAACTTGTGTTCTTCAAATTCTTTGTCGAGCTTCAACATGTGCTTCGTTCAACTTATCAATTATTTCCAGAGTTCGTTTGATAAGTAATTGAGGCACTTGACTATCTTCTATAGGTTCCGAAGGATAGGTTGAAATAAATAATTCAATGGGTAATACAGCTTCTCACCCATATGTTAAATAAAACGGCTTTTGCTTCGTTACATTATGCTTATTTGTTCTATATGCAAATAACGCTCCTGGGACGTATCTATCCCATTCGCCATTATACTGAGATATACACTTTGCTAATGTCTCACAAAGTGTTCGATTGTATCTTTCCACTAATCCGTTAGCTTGCAGGTGATATGGAGACAACATGATATGCTTAATTCCCCAATTTCTGACATATAGCTGTTATTAAATTATTATCAAAATATAAACCATGATCTGATATTAGTTCACGTGGGCACCCGTGCCTACAAATTATTTCCTCATACAAAAATGAAGTAACAGTTTCAGCGGTACAATCTGAAATGGCTTTCGCTTCGGGCCACTTTGTTAAGTATTCAGTGGCTACAATTATATATTTATTACTTAATTTTGTTATAGGTAAGGGTCCAATAAAATCAATACTTATACATTCGAAAGGTTGTCCTACGATTACCGGATTTAGAGGCTCACGTGTTCTGGGTCTTCCTCTTCTTTGACATATGTTGCATCCTTGGATGAAATCTTTAATGTCGATTCTCATGTGCGGCCAATAAAATCTCTTTTCAATTCAATGAGCAGTTGCCTTTTCACCAAAATGTCCCACCGTTGGATCTTCATGCAGACTTCATAATATTATCTCCATTTCTTCCTTTTTTATGACTTTCCAGGGTTTACCTAATTCATAGTTCGATTTTCTATATAATATCTTTTCTTTTACTAAATAATAATTTGCTTTAATTTCGAATTTTCTAATCTGATCTTTTGTTAAATCTTTAGGGACCGCCAAATTTACTAAATATTCTACTAATTGGAGGTATTCTTGAGGATCCATTTTGAAAGTTGCCAGGACACCATAACCTGAACTGGATTAATGGATTTGAAGTTAAAATTATTATTATTATTATTATTATTATTATTTTTTTTTTTTTAACATATACTAATTATTGTTCAATTAATTCAATTTAGATAAGCCGTCAACATGCGATAGTTGTTTGCTGGGTCAGTGTCTAATGTCAAAATTATACCCTTGTAGAGTCATAATGTAACAGGCCATTCTGCTTGTCAGATTTTTTATACTCTTTAGGTATGTTAAAGCAGAATGATCTGTTATGATCGTGAATTTCAGACCATGTAAGTATAGATTAAATTTCTTAACTGCCCAAACGATTGCTACACATTCTAACTCAGTAATTATATAATTCTTTTCAGCAGAGCTTGTCGTTCTACTGGCATATTTTTGATTATGTGTTCTTTATTATCGTCACCCTTTTGAGATAGTATAGCGCCCATAGCTAAATGAGAGGCGTCAGTGTATAATATATATTCTTCATTATCATTCGGATGTGCAAGAATTGGCGCTGTCATTAGAGATTTCTTTAAAGCATCGAACACACATTGTTGGCTAACTCCCAAATTGAACTTTTCTTTATTCTTTAATAATTTAAATAAAGGGGTGGCTACTTTAGCAAAATCTTTAATATGTCTTCTATAAAATCCTACTAATCCTAAAAAACTTCGGAGGGCTCTAACATTTTTAGGCGTTGAAAAATTATTGATGGCTTCAATTTTTGAGGGACTAGCAGTAATTCCTTCACGGCTTACTTCATAACCAAGGAATGTTATCTTGTCTTGACCAAAATAACATTTTTCTGGATTCAACTTTAGATTAGCCATCCTTAGTCTTAATAAGACATCTTCGACGTATGCCAAGTGATCCTCAAATGTTGACGAATAAATGTTGACATCATCAATATATACCAATGCATATTTCCATAGAATATCTTGGAGGACTTTATCTATCAAATGTTGAAATGTTGCTGGGCATTACTTAACCTGAATGGCATAACATTAAATTTATATAACCCGAATTTTGTTATAAATGCCGTTTTATCATGATTATGTGGATGCATTACTACCTGCCAAAATCTACTTGCCAAATCGAGAGTGGTATAATAGGCCGATTGTTTTAATGCACCTAATAACTCATTTATACGTGATAAAGGATAACTATCATGTTTAGTTATCTTATTGAGTTTATGGTAATCAACACAAAACCACAGTTTGCCGTTCTTTTTCTTCAACAAGATTGCCGGCGAAGCCCAAGAACTACCGGATAGTCTAATCAAGTTTTCGTTCTTCATTCTCTGAATTTCTTGGCAGATAAATTCATGCTCTACCCTAAATGTAGAATAGAAACGTTGTCTTATAGGTGGGCCATTTTCAGTATAGATTTTATGCTGAACTACCATTGTTTGCCCTAATTGAGTCGAATCCCATGCAAAAACATCCTTATATTTTTTTAACAATTTTTCCAAAAGATACTTTTGCCATTCATTTAATTTGCCTATATTAAAATTCTTATCTGTTTCTTCATTAATCGTTTGACTTTCAAAGTAACATTTAGGTAAGGGATTATCAAAAATTTTTTGATATAAATATGTTTGATTTATTAATTGTTTTTCTTCATATTCTTCTTCAGTTTCCCATTCGTCGTCACTGTTCGATCCTTCACTTTCGCTATTTTCGGGTGACTCAATGACTTTTTTATTTTTCCTTTTTATCAGTTTTTCTATATTAGCGGGTCTACAATATTCTGTAGGGACCTTAATTTTTTTATTGCCATCACGTATCATTAATTCACATTCTTCCCAATCAATACGGGCTCGAGCTTTCTTCAACCAGTCATTTCCAACGATTACAGCGTAATTACCAGCTTTAGTGACAACAGCTTTGGATGTTATAGTTTTTCTACCTACGGTAATAGGAAAGTCATCAATCTCACCAACGGCCTTTTCTGTTTGCCATGTACATCAATCATTAAAACTGGTGAAGGTCGATCAATCGAAATGCCGATATCTTTCAAGAAATTTGCTGATACAACGCAACCTGACGACTCGCTATCCAATATTAATAATATTGGATGTTCTTTTACTTTAGCCTCAAAATACATGGAGGTTGTTCTTTCATCTTCATCTTGATTTTGGTGAAATTCGGCTAACTTTGTAGTCGATATTCAACCTTGACGCATTATCCTTAGCATATCTTTTCTTACGTTAGGGGCCGTTTGGAATAGCTGCGCATACGTAATGTCAGCTTTCTTATTTTGCAAGTCAGATAAGATAGAGTAAGGTTGAATGTTAGATATTATTAATGGTTCAACTGGCTTACTCTTTTTCTTTTTAACCAATTTTCTTGGTCTATCGGCTTTATACGCTTCCTCTTCGATTTCTCTATCGTCGGTTCTTTCAATAGGTTCTCCAAAATTTCCTCTACGCCTTTTTGATATAAGGTTTTCGATTAAATTATTTGAGGGATTTGCATCCTTTAACGCACTCTTACCCTCTAAAGGTGTATTATTTAGTTTAAAGACTCTTCGTTATTCAACATTTGAGTGATCGTTATATTCATGTTGATGATCTATATTATCGTCATTAACATAATTATTATTATTAGGTCAATTAGAAATAGGATTATCCTGATTTGGACAATCCCAGGCAATATGGCCATTTTGACAACAACTGTAGTATACAATTGGTTGGCGATAACCTCGATTAACGTTAGAGCAATTTATTCCATTTCGGTAATTCTCACATGACCTATTATTAAACTCTTGAGGTCTATTATTTATTGATACGGCAATTTGTTCCATTAGTTTAGCTAATTTTTCCATCGTTTCTTCATTCGTAGTTCAGACAGGTTGATTAGTATTATTCATTTGTTGTTGGAGAAGAGTTATTGCAGGACTCATAGCAGGGGATGGGCTTAATTTTATTATCGTATTAGCAAAAGTTACTTCGCATACTTTTGCTTTTTCAATAGAATTTTGAAGAGTATTAGGTATAAAGGGTCCAACGGCAAGTGCTAAATCAGGTCTTAACCCTTGAATAAACAATTGAGCCTTCATGGCTTCTGGATATTAATGTCCTCCGGCCAAAACACGTCTAAAAAGAGCCAAAATTTCGGTAGCGTATTGGTCTACGGTTTCTCCAACCTTTTGGCATCGGCTTATTAATTCATTACTCTATTGGCTTATTAAAGATTGTGTACAAAAATTTCGTCGAAATACATGCACAAAACTCTGATTTTGGTGTTGATTGTTTTCCTAATATATAACTAATAGTTGAATATTTCGTCTTCCATCCCACCAAAGTGCAGCCATCCCAGCAAGATAGGCACCTACTATGGCTAATCTTCTTTGTTCTTGAATGTTATTAGCCTCAAAAGCCCGTCTGATGGTTTCTAACCATTCAATAGGATCTTGATTTCCTCCCGAAAAGGTGGGTATTGTAACGACATTTGATTCCCTTGGTTGGTTTGGTTGGTCTTGAGGTTGTGGAGCAATTGCCATTGCTTGGATAAGTTGCTAAATTTGTTCAGTAATGGCAGCTATGTGTTGATCCTTTTCATTGGTATTGTTATTAATTAGTTCTATATTTCTCAAATTTACCCAATTAATCATCCAAACGGTTTGCCTGATTCTTAATTTGAGATTATTATTTAGGATTATTTCTTCAATAAAGGGTTATGGCTTAAGAATGGATTAAGTTTTAATAACTTTTGTCTAGCACGAATTTTTCACACCCCACCGTCGTCACCAAATTGTAACTACTGATTGGATGTAAATGTTTAATTTGGGTTGAAATCCAACGATAGTTATCAAAATCTAAGATAAGTATATGCGTGAATTCAAGGAGATTGGGGTTGAAATCTGTACTAATATTTATTTATCTTTACTTTGTTAGGGTCAATGTTTATTAATAAAAGGACTTTAATGTTGTTTTAGGAAAAACAATATTTAATATATACTAAATTTGAGTCTTTATTGAGATAAGTATAACATAGAAAAATATGATAATACATATAATAATAACTAATACTAATACTATACTGTTGTTATTATTTAGATATATTACTATAAAGGTCATCAAAAGAGTAGATATTTCTAATCTACGGAATTTGAACTGTTCTCCTTTTCTTCTCGGGAAGCATCCCTTATATACAATTTTCCTTTATTTTGATAGTTCGAAACTTTTACTTGGTAGTTCTCAACTTTGCCTCTGTTAGTTTCTAACTTTTATACAATAGTTACTAACTTTCTATTTTCCTTTAGTTACTAACTTTCCTACTGGTTATTATTCCACCCCAATAGTTCGAAACTATCGATAAATCTAAATTTAGAAACCTTAATCGATGTGGCTTACTGTTTCTGTATTACAGACAAAAAAATTAAAAATTTTATTGAATTTCCATTTCAGCAGACAACTTCGAGTTGACGAATTAAAACTCATGACGAATGATAATTTTTATATGTATTTGACGTACTAAATGTAAAAAAAATAAAAAATGCGACTTTCTCTTAGGATTCATTGAAAAGTTAATATCAACAAAACAACAGCGTTTAAAGATAAACTTTTTGGAATGCCCAGCTAGTGATGGGCATGCAACTCATGTGACCTGACGCAACTGCTCACGTGACCCTTAAAAACATATATGCGTCATGGTTTCATCAGGCCTCATCAGTTGTGTCACCCATCACTATACCCAGCATTCCCGGATGTGTCCAATTGGTACGTGGAAGAGGACTATCGGTAAAAAAATATATATATATATTAGCTTCAATTCAATCTAATGTGAAGTAAAATTAAATTTTATATTAATCCATTAGTTTTTATATTAACTTGTTTATAATGAACTGACTATTTGATTGAAAAAGATCGAAATTGTTGTGTTCACATGTTACCGAAGAAATTTATGAAAAAATTAAAATCCAGAATATCCAGAGATCGTTATAAAGAAACTCATTAAAAGAGGCAACTGTATTCTTAAATTTTGTTGGTTGAATAAATTTCATCAATAATTTCGTCAATCGTCAGTAAATTCGTCAATCGTCAAAATTTTGTAAGACGAAACCAAAAATAATTTCATCACACATCATTACACCAATCACTACTTTAATTTGTGATTGGTAGATACAAAACACACCATGAATTTCTACTATTAAATGGGTTTATACCTTTCCAAAATTAAACAGTTAACAATAAAAACATATTTAATATATTGTAACGAATAAAGCAGTCTTATACAAAACATTCCTAGTCATCTTAGTCTACTACACAATTCTGAGGTTTAAGATCATTTTGAGATTCTTTTGCACAGTGGACGCTAATGCTCTTCTAAAACTGTGAATGATGTTTGCAGTAATGTTTATTAACACAGTATCAAGTTATAAAAAAGTACTTTAAAATATCATACGTATGATTGACGATGAGTAAATTAGACTTTTTTCAAAATTTTATGCGCATGGAATTCTGGTCTGCATTACAGTCTCGGATATTACCAAATTTGGGGGATGGCTAAAGCCATGTACCCAAATGATTTTGACGTTTTAATCGTTTCAATTAAAATTAAGGTTAGGATTAGGGTACGATTGGTGTTGATATAAGAAGAGA